TGTTCTAGGAAATTCAAATTCAGGATTAAAGACTGAACTACAGAAAACAGAATATAGACTAGGGGGTGACTATTCAAACTGGGGTGCTCTAATGAGCAGAGTACCAAACGGATCTGAACTAGGACCACTGATCGTCGTCATTCAGATCAAGGAATGATGCTAGATTCTGGTGGCGTTAAACCAGGCAAGTTTCCAGACCATCAAGAAACAGAAGGATGACCAGAACACTGCAGAAACGGCAAATGAAAACAGAAAACAGATAAGATAACACCTGGCAGACGTTGCTTAATGTACTGCGGATTACATGCAGGTAACGCAGACAAACTACAGGTACAAACTGGGAAACAAACCATCTTATGAAAAATGTTTTCCATCTTCACAATTAGGGAGAGCAATAAAAACAAAGTATACATATTTGGGTATATAATAAACAGTACTATCGAACTGTGCAATGCACTAATAAGACCTCATCAGCAGTTTTGTACAACTTTAGAAATTTTACAATTTATCATTACATTATACAGAAGATGTTGGATAAAGGGAATATCCTGCACTGACGGGCTGAAAAAACTGAATCATTAGTTTTGAACAGACAAAGCCATGGACATGGTTTCAAGTACTCAAAATACTTGCCCTCAATGGCACCTACAGGATGAACACTGTCGCACACACCAGAGGACACAACTAGCAAATAATGGGAAGTGCATTTTAAAAAAAAGGAGCAGGAGACACTTTACACAAAGTGTTGTGGGAGTGTGAAACAAGCTAGGCCAGCCACAATGCTGGAGCAGATATCCTACTATTTCTTGAAAGAAGCCAGGCCAAGATCCTTGGACCAGCTAACTACAGGCAAGAAGGGCTACATGGCCTCCTTTAGTTGGCTCTTGGTAGAAGCCTTCCTAATCTAATGGTGTTGTGTTCTTATGACCTGTAAAATGCTTATTCTACACTGCCATCCAAGAACATACTGTATGCAACCCAACCTGGTTGGACAGGGATGCATCTGCTAGAGTGACAAGCAGACTACCACCCAAGAAGTGAAACGTTCGAACCCAGGTCCCTACCAACGACTCCTAAAATGACTCCTCCTTTACCTCCCGATACAAGACCGGAAGATGCTGCTCCGTTTTTGTCTTCTCCTTTCTGCACCAGGTCTGCAATAACAGCTCTGGCCACGTTAATAAGCGGGCATCGGCCAGAGTTATCGCAACCTTTTTCAAAGACTTTAAATTCCTCCACAGATCTAGAATGTCTGTTTACATTAAATTTCAACATCAATTAAAGTGAAGTTAATAGATTAAGTTACTGCAACAGCTAATTAATGCTATTTTTTAGAAGTAGGCTATGGAACAGTACAGGTTCACTACATCTTATTATTTCCAAACCCTCTCCAAATGTTTGTCCATGACAGCTGCTGATATTTCACATTATTAAGCATTAAGTAGGAGTACAATGTGTTTTGTTCTTGCAAGGCAGTTGAAATATACAATAGTTGCATCATGTTAAGAAATGTACTACAGAGTAACATGCAGTAGTTCTACAGATTTATAGCTGACATTACTACAAGCAACAGTGTATAGTATTACAGCAATGCTCCTGTTCTTTTAGAATAACTTTCCTGCAATTTTACAGCATTTTTAAGTATAGCCTTTACAAATGAGTATTAGCTTAAAAAAAATGTAAAACCATTCAAGTGACAAGATCACCTTTGAGCTGTTGCTCGTTCTTGGAGGGTCAAATATCTTTTCTGTTGAACCGAGATTGGGACAATTAACTGAGCTCTTGTTAGACTTCTACGGGACTTTGTTTTTTTGTTGTTGATCATTAAGAACATGAACCGAATTACATGAAATATCCTAAACAATACCTCAGGAGCCTGAAAGTTATTTCTGCAGTAAATGATTAAACTAACTGTGGAACAGACTCTGAATGGAATAAAAGGCAGATATTTCTCTCTCTCTCCCCAGGAAAGTTTGAGACCCTACCTTATATGCTGGGATACCAGAGTAACTTACATGCAAATCGAATGCAAAAATAAAGTATGAAGGGACCAAAACGGCCTGTATTTCATTCTTGTCCCCATAATGGTTTTTCCAGCTCTTGTACAGGACAGTGGATTATCCTGTAAGCGTCACGGCGGTGAACAAGTTCAGGGCAGTCCGGCACATCAGCGGCTCGGTGCCGAGAGTCTTCAGACCGGCTGAAGACAAGGTCACTGCCTCGCAGTGCAGCTGGCAGGACCACCCCGACTCCAGGGACACCTCCGTGTCCAGGAGGGGCGGAGCGGTGGCTCTGTGTCTCAGGATCTGTGCCTGTGGCTGGGAGGTTGCCGGTTCAAATCCCGCAGCCGGCAGAGGAATCCTACTCCGTTGGGCCCCTGAGCAAGGCCCTTCACCCCAACTGCTCCAGGGGCGCTGTACAATGGCAGACCCTGTGCTCTGACCCCAAGCTTCTCTCCCTGTCTGTGTGTCTCATGGAGAACAAGCTGGGGTCTGCGAAAAGACGAATTCCTAATGCGAGAAACTGTAAAGGGTTAATAAAGTGATGTTATTATTAAAAGGAGGTGGAAGGGGCTCCATCAGGGGCTGATGGAAAGACGGTGCCAAAGCCCAACGAGCTGCCTACAGCAGGCTGACCTGCAAACAACAGGTTTCCCCCCCCGACCTGTCTGGGGACCCCCTCCTACGACTCGTGGTAGCCAGCACTGCACACGCAGCGATAAGGTCCCGTCAGCAACTAATGGGACCCATCAGAGCCAATTAACTACAGCTCAATCAAACACCTGAATCACAGCCGGTCATTAACAGACACGATAAGACCATGGGAGCTCTGAGGCTGAACATCAGAAGTCGGCACAAGGGAAACGGTAGATCCTGCAGGGATCTGGGCAGCGTCGTTCAGTCCAGCAGCCTCTCACAGACCTGTCGAGGTCCCACCCATCTCCCAGTTTGAACTGATCATTTTTAGTTGCGGTCCGAAAATAAAACTCAGAGCGGCGAGCACCTGGAGGACAGGAGGCGAGTCGGGCTGGGGCTTTTTTTTTAATCCCGCACTCCTGGAAATCCGAACCGCTGCCATCGAGACGTGGATAACCGGAGCCCGGTGTACATCCCAGGATGGCCTCCAATCCACTCCGTTACAGATCTGTTCCTTAGCTGCTGTATTGATTAGGAATGGGGCGGCTGCAGCTAATCTACGGAGCGGACTGGACTGGAGGGCCCTGCAAGCTCTGTTCTACACCAGGGGGCTCCCAGCCCAGGTCCTGCGGGGGGGGACACCGCTGGTTTTCATTGCAGCCGGAGTCACCTGACAGCTCCATCAATCGGCTGGCTGACCTCTCCAGCCCCGAGTGTCCCCTGCAGTAGCGGGGACCGACAGACACACCATCAGGTGCTCTAACAGACGGGACTAGTTTGAGTTCCGAAATCACAGAGGGGGCCCCCCCAACAACCATCTTGTTTTTAAGCAGTAACCCACCCGTTTCGACGTGACTTTCACTACACAAAAAAACCACACAGGCGCTCGTACAACCGCGCACGAGGCCGCCTGTTCTCGAGGCCGCGCAGTGCCCGCCAGCGCGCGGCTCCGCAAATACTGCACGTTCAACTGCATCGATTAATCCAGAGAATTTAAAGAGTCGGGTCATCTGTTCACGTTCGCTCCCGCGCATCGCCCTGAAGCCTTACCCCTGGATTCAAGGCCTGTCCGGAGCTTTTCTGCTTCTTCAAGGCCCATTTAACGCTCAATCTCGGCTTCCGGCGCCACGCGGGCTAGAGTTCGGATACAATCGTGTCCCATTAAAAGAATAATTAAAAGAAAAAACAGTCGCGGAGACACAATCTCTTAAGTTTTCCTTTGTGTCAACGGGAAGAAACGATGCTGTCTGAAGATTCACCAAACAAATGTCCCCCCCCTACCGCCGCCATTGAACTCGAGTCATCGTTTGCTGAATCATCACTCCGCGAAGGAATCTCATTCACCGTGCTTGCAAAATGGGTAGAATAATGCATGCACAGTTGCAAATATGACAATGACAAACTAAACACTGATGTTTTTACAAAACAATTACAGCCATTAAAATATTGTATTTGGCAGACTACTTGCTCATACAGAGTACAATGCCGTGTTTGACCGGCGGTCACAGCCCGTCTCGCAGTTTATTCCAACACATTTGCGTGCATTATACGGCAGCCTGTATTGAGATTCATATGTTCACCTGCTGTCCGGCGGCACGTCGCCCTTCTGCGCCGGGGCTCCGACGTCCTCCCTCATCGCGATTTTGGCAAAACGGGAGCCGATCGTGAACCACCTGCTGAGCTGCTCGGCGGTTACCGGGTTGTTCATGGCGGCTGTTGATACCGAAGTCTATATTCATACGGGGGGGTAGAGGAAAAACAACCTACTTCTCAGAATATCGAGGAGTACGTCCCACTCCCCGACACTTCCGACTAGATCTCCCGCCCTGCGGCGGA